ACCGTCACACTGCCACCAGTGTGGACCGTCACGCTGCCACCAGTGTGGCCCGTCACACTGACACCAATGTGGACCGTCACACTGCCACCAGTGTGGACCGTCACACTGCCACCAGTGTGGACCGTCACACTGTCACCAGTTTGGAACGTCACGCTGCCACCAGTGAGGACCGTCACACTGCCACCAATGTGGACCGTCACACTGCCACCAGTGTGGCCCGTCACACTGCCACCAGTGTGGACCGTCACACTGCCACCAGTGTGGACCGACACACTGCCACCAATGTGGACCGTCACACTGCCACCAGTGTGGACCGCCACACTGCCACCAGTGTGAACCGCCTCACTGCCACCAGTGTGAACCACCACACTGCCACCAGTTAGGACAGACACACTGCCACCAGTGCGGACCGTCACACTGCCACCGGTGTGGGCCGTCACACTGACACCAGTGTGGACCGTCACACTGCCACCAGTGTGGACCGTCACACTGCCACCAATGTGGACCGTCACACTGCCACCAGTGTGGACCGTCACACTGCCACCAGTGTGAACTTCCTCACTGCCACCAATGAGAACCATCACACTGCCACCAGTGTGAACTTCCTCACTGCCACCAATATGGAAGATCACACTGCCACCAGTTTGGAACGTCACGCTGCCACCAGTGTGGACCGTCACACTGCCACCAATGTGGACCGTCACACTGCCACCAATGTGGACCGTCACACTGCCACCAGTGTGGACCGTCACGCTGCCACCAGTGTGGCCCGTCACACTGACACCAATGTGGACCGTCACACTGCCACCAGTGTGGACCGTCACACTGCCACCAGTGTGGACCGTCACACTGTCACCAGTTTGGAACGTCACGCTGCCACCAGTGAGGACCGTCACACTGCCACCAATGTGGACCGTCACACTGCCACCAGTGTGGCCCGTCACACTGCCACCAGTGTGGACCGTCACACTGCCACCAGTGTGGACCGACACACTGCCACCAATGTGGACCGTCACACTGCCACCAGTGTGGACCGTCACACTGCCACCAGTGTGGACCGTCACACTGCCACCAATGTGGACCGTCGCACTGCCACCAGTGAGGACCGTCACACTGCCACCAGTGAGGACCGTCATACTGCCACCAATGTGGACCGTCGCACTGCCACCAGTGTGAACCGTCACACTGCCACCAGTGAGGACCGTCACACTGCCACCAATGTGGACCGTCGCACTGCCACCAGTGAGGACCGTCACACTGCCACCAGTGAGGACCGTCATACTGCCACCAATGTGGACCGTCGCACTGCCACCAGTGTGAACCGACACACTGCCACCAATGTGGACCGTCGCACTGCCACCAGTGTGAACCGTCACACTGCCACCAGTGAGGACCGTCATACTGCCACCAATGTGGACCGTCACACTGCCACCAGTGGACCGTCACACTGCCACCAGTGAGGACCGCCACACTGCCACCAGTGTGAACCGCCTCACTGCCACCAGTGTGAACCACCACATTTACCAGTTAGGACAGACACACTGCCACCAGTGTGGACCGTCACACTGCCACCGGTGTGGACCGTCACACTGCCACCAGTGTGGACCATCATGCAGCCACCAATATGGGCCGTCACAGTGACACCAGTGTGGACCGTCATGCTGCCACCAATGTGGGCCGTCACACTGACACCAGTGTGGACCGTCATGCTGCCACCAATGTGGGCCGTCACACTGCCACCAGTGTGGACCGTTATGCTGCCACCGGTGTGGGCCGTCACACTGCCACCAGTGTGGACCGTCACGCTGCCACCAGTGTGGCCCGTCACACTGACACCAATGTGGACCGTCACACTGCCACCAGTGTGGACCGTCACACTGCCACCAGTGTGGACCGTCACACTGTCACCAGTTTGGAACGTCACGCTGCCACCAGTGAGGACCGTCACACTGCCACCAATGTGGACCGTCACACTGCCACCAGTGTGGCCCGTCACACTGCCACCAGTGTGGACCGTCACACTGCCACCAGTGTGGACCGACACACTGCCACCAATGTGGACCGTCACACTGCCACCAGTGTGGACCGTCACACTGCCACCAGTGTGGACCGTCACACTGCCACCAATGTGGACCGTCGCACTGCCACCAGTGAGGACCGTCACACTGCCACCAGTGAGGACCGTCATACTGCCACCAATGTGGACCGTCGCACTGCCACCAGTGTGAACCGTCACACTGCCACCAGTGAGGACCGTCACACTGCCACCAATGTGGACCGTCGCACTGCCACCAGTGAGGACCGTCACACTGCCACCAGTGAGGACCGTCATACTGCCACCAATGTGGACCGTCGCACTGCCACCAGTGTGAACCGACACACTGCCACCAATGTGGACCGTCGCACTGCCACCAGTGTGAACCGTCACACTGCCACCAGTGAGGACCGTCATACTGCCACCAATGTGGACCGTCACACTGCCACCAGTGGACCGTCACACTGCCACCAGTGAGGACCGCCACACTGCCACCAGTGTGAACCGCCTCACTGCCACCAGTGTGAACCACCACATTTACCAGTTAGGACAGACACACTGCCACCAGTGTGGACCGTCACACTGCCACCGGTGTGGACCGTCACACTGCCACCAGTGTGGACCATCATGCAGCCACCAATATGGGCCGTCACACTGACACCAGTGTGGACCGTCATGCTGCCACCAATGTGGGCCGTCACACTGACACCAGTGTGGACCGTCATGCTGCCACCAATGTGGGCCGTCACACTGCCACCAGTGTGGACCGTCATGCTGCCACCGGTGTGGGCCGTCACACTGACACCAGTGTGGACCGTCACACTGCCACCAGTGTGGACCGTCACACTGCCACCAATGTGGACCGTCACACTGCCACCAGTGGAACGTCACACTGACACCAGTGGAACGTCACACTGACACCAATGTGGACCGTCACACTGCCACCAGTGTGAACTTCCTCACTGCCACCAATGAGAACCATCACACTGCCACCAGTGTGAACTTCCTCACTGCCACCAATGTGGACCATCACACTGCCACCAGTTTGGAACGTCACGCTGCCACCAGTGTGGACCGTCACACTGCCACCAATGTGGACCGTCACACTGCCACCAATGTGGACCGTCACACTGCCACCAGTGTGGACCGTCACGCTGCCACCAGTGTGGCCCGTCACACTGACACCAATGTGGACCGTCACACTGCCACCAGTGTGGACCGTCACACTGCCACCAGTGTGGACCGTCACACTGTCACCAGTTTGGAACGTCACGCTGCCACCAGTGAGGACCGTCACACTGCCACCAATGTGGACCGTCACACTGCCACCAGTGTGGCCCGTCACACTGCCACCAGTGTGGACCGTCACACTGCCACCAGTGTGGACCGACACACTGCCACCAATGTGGACCGTCACACTGCCACCAGTGTGGACCGTCACACTGCCACCAGTGTGGACCGTCACACTGCCACCAATGTGGACCGTCGCACTGCCACCAGTGAGGACCGCCTCACTGCCACCAGTGTGAACCGTCACACTGCCACCAGTGAGGACCGTCATACTGCCACCAATGTGGACCGTCACACTGCCACCAGTGGACCGTCACACTGCCACCAGTGAGGACCGCCACACTGCCACCAGTGTGAACCGCCTCACTGCCACCAGTGTGAACCACCACATTTACCAGTTAGGACAGACACACTGCCACCAGTGTGGACCGTCACACTGCCACCGGTGTGGACCGTCACACTGCCACCAGTGTGGACCATCATGCAGCCACCAATGTGGGCCGTCACACTGACACCAGTGTGGACCGTCATGCTGCCACCAATGTGGGCCGTCACACTGACACCAGTGTGGACCGTCATGCTGCCACCAATGTGGGCCGTCACACTGCCACCAGTGTGGACCGTCATGCTGCCACCAGTGTGGGCCGTCACACTGACACCAGTGTGGACCGTCACACTGCCACCAGTGTGGACCGTCACACGGCCACCAATGTAAATTGTCACACTGCCTCCAATGTGGACCGTCACACTGCCACCAGTGTGAACCATCACACTGCCACCAGTGTGGACCATCACACTGCCACCAGTGGACCGTCACACTGTCACCAGTGAGGACCGTCACACTGCCACCAATGTATATTGTCACACTGCCTCCAATGTGGACCGTCACACTGCCTCCAATGTGGACCGTCACACTGCCACCAGTGTGGACCGTCACACTGTCCCCAGTGTGGACCGTCACAATGCCACCAGTGTGGACCGTCACGCTGCCACCAGTGTGGACCGTCACACTGTCCCCAGTGTGGACCGTCACAATGCCACCAGTGTGGACCGTCACGCTGCCACCAGTGTGGACCGTCACAATGCCACCAGTGTGGACCGTCACGCTGCCACCAGTGTGGACCGTCACACTGTCCCCAGTGTGGACCGTCACAATGCCACCAGTGTGGACCGTCACGCTGCCACCAGTGTGGACCGTTACACTGTCCCCCAGTGTGGACCGTCACGCTGCCACCAGTGTGAACCGTCACATTGTCACTTGTGGGGGTTATGAGTACTCAATACAGTTTTGCTTTTTGTGCCTCCAGCGAGTAGTCAAAAGGGAATTTAAGAAAAATTGACCATTGCAGTGAGCAGTCACACACTGCCACCTTTGTATCCTGTACCTTTGTATCGTCCACCTTTGTATGCTGCAGTGAGTTGGCACAGGGTTTTCCACATTTTTCTTCTGCAGGGAGTAGTCATATCTGTATTTTAACAATTTTACCATTGCAGCGAGTTGGCATAGGGGTATTTTCATATTTTTCCCATGCAGGTCATTGAGTCGTGATGTTTTCTCGTGGATTTCATCGAACGATCTTTGGCCCCAGCCATTTCGCTCAACGGGATTAAACCGCAGGCTTCCGTCACACCACAATTCTATCACTTCGGTGACCCTGCATAGCCACTGTCGTCCCTAATGGTCAGTGACATCATCAGCTAGACCATCTTCATTTTTCTTCTTTAAGACAATTGTCTGTTATGGTATATGTGAGAAGTTTGGAATTGTATTTTGAATTTGAAAATAATTCTTGTTTATTCCTTGTGATATTCTAGTATTACATCTGTCGACTTTAAACTGAAAGTCTAGATTGGTCTCCTGAGAAAGGGCTTGCCTAGCTTACATGGTAAGTGCAGTAAGCAGCTCATTCCCCACTCTACAGACCATAGAACAATTGACTAGGCACGAGCAGACACAGAGACGTCAGAAGTGCGAAATCCCCTTCATTTAGGCCGTCCACCTTCGCAAATCGCCGGAGCGAATCTAATGAGTAGGTCACGGATTCTCACAACATTGAATTTATTGTGTGGTGCTGTGAATTCAGGCCATATCTCAAAGGCAGTCTGAAATGAAATAACAATAATAATTTCAGGCACCATGGCAGAACACATCAATAAAATGAATGGGGTGTAACAAGACAGCGTTCAACATAACAACACAGCTCAACAAAGTACTAATTACTACAACAACGAAGAATATCAATGACTTTACTCGAAATCCTTCCTGTAACACCTTTACTGACAGCTAGACAACAGCCACGAGTGCTGTATAAATGAACTAACTTGAACATAATGAGTGTTCACAGAGGAATCAATTAAGCAAAACATACTAAGTCTATAATCACTAATGCAACAACGACGAGGTAGGTTAGGAGACACGCCTCCAGTAACCTCCTCCTCCAGTTACTTTACGCTACTTGCAGCCCTCCCCTGCAATGACAGTTGCATGTAATGAAACTAGTAGCCTATCAATAACATTACAATGACTAATGGGGTTGACCAGGCACACATTAGAAGGTGACGGGACGATGACGTTTCGGTCCGTCCTGGACCATTCTCAATTCGATTGTGATGAGGAAGTAGAAGCAGGCAATAAATAGGCAAGAGAGAGGTGAGGAGCAAAGTGTAATAGAGGGGATAGTAGTAGGGACAAGAACTGCAGAGGGCCTATGGGCCCATACGAGGCAGCTCCTACTATAACCACCGAATGAGAAGGAGATAATAATAGGAATAAGAAGAGGATAGTAAGGGAACGTAAAGAAAACAATGAACAGAAAAAAGAGAGAAGAGAGAAAGAAAAGGAGAGAGAAAGAAAGGTAAATGGAAGGGTAAGCTTATGTTAGGTCTCGTTTGTTAGAAAGATTAGAGTATTTAAATATATACTGTGAAAGGGAAGAGTCCACAGCAACATAGCCAGGACTCAAGTTCATGTTGGGTACATTGTGTATTAGAGCCGATTCAACAAGATGGTGTCTGTGTAGAGTAGAGGCAGGAAATATTATTTTGGAGGAAGACCAATTAGTAGGATGAGTGGAATCCCTCACATGACAAAAGTGAGCATTGTTAGTGTCTGCAGACTTAACACTTCTCTTGTGTTCTGTAAGTTTGTCCTTTAAGTCTGTCGACTAATGGGGTTACTGGCAACTCCAGCAACCCTTCTAAATTAAAGTCTTACATTAACACTCCGTCCCTCGGACTATCACCGATCAATGAATATACAAGAATGTAACAACTCTTGTATATATCTCAAATGACAAATTGATTACGTTAATATTAAAGTAACACTTACATTGACTTAATCTTGTCTCCCACAGACAAATGAAACTGTAAAACTGTCACTAGTTACTCGGAATTTGAAGAGTTGCGCTCTAGCAGCCGTGAGGTGCAGACGTGTCACCTGGCCTCTCTGGTAGTTGAGGTGTTTGCCGCTTTAGTCAGCAGGGGGTGTCGGTGTCTCTACCCTCCCTGCTGTTCCCTCCTGGTTGGTGTGGACGTGGCGCGTTTGCGATGGCCGGCCATCTTCACCCTGTTGTGAGGGTTAACTCCGTGGGATTGGAGTTTACTGGACGTGCGGGGTACCCTGTAGTAGAGCTTGTCATGTTTGACATGCTCCATAACCCGGTAATGGACATCTACGATGTTGAGGTGATAACTGCTCACCGTGTAGTTATAAAGTTTGTGGGAGAAGCGGTGTACCAGGATCTTTCTCCGGAGCTACCAGGGACGTACCTTGCAGCTGCAGGATGGCACCGGATCTGTGTTCATTACGGATTGTAGCGGTGCCATGACGTATGTGAGTGTCCATGGGGCCCCCCCATGGAGTTTCCCGAGACCCTCCTCCGGCGTTTCTTACAGCGGTTTGGCGCCGTCGTTAGTGTGCAGATGCACACGCTGTCTTCTATCAAGTTCAAGGGTATGAGGACCAACATTTGTACCCTAGGTATGCGCCTGAGGTCGGACATTCCATCTTCTGTCCAGCTTTTAGGGTACTATGTACGGGTGTACTATGCCTGGCAACCACGGACATGTTTTCGTTGTGGACTGTTGGGGCATCAGGCTGCCGGTTGCACTGAGGCTACGACTGCTCCTGTGAACATGTTCAAAGAAGAGGATTTCCCGCCGCTTTCTGCGGAGGAGGACTCCGGGGATGAGGAGGTGGACGTCCCAATCGCTCCTGGTGGTCTTCCGAGCGATCTTTGTGTGTCGTCAGCTCCCTCCGCTTCCTCGTCCCCTGCTACTGCACATGGCTCTGCGCCCTCGACTTGTGTCTCGACTGTGATGGGAAGTGGGGTGGCCGACGCGCCTCCTGCTGTGTGGGGCCCGGTTTCCCCTGTGGTTGAGGCTGCTGCCGTCTTGCGTCGTGCGTCGGTCCGGCTGGCTTGTGGAGCCCATGTTTCTGGGTCCGCCTCCGGCTCTAATGATGTATGGCCGGAGCCCAAGCGTTCTCGTCGTTCTTCTGCTTCATGGGCTGATTTTGGCGAGTTTGACGACTGTGGATCTTCCGGCGACTGCGGGGGTGGCTCCGCTTGCGTTGCAATCTACGGTGGTGGCGGAGGTGCATTTGCCTGCGGATGCCGGTGCTCGTGTTATGGCCTCCCCTTCTGGTGGGGTTTTTGCGGATCCTGATTCGGATACGTCGCCTGTGTCAGATGGTTCCTGTTCTTCGTGGGGGGTGGTTCCCCCTGCTGAGGTTCATGGTGAGCGTGGTTACTTGGTGATGGTCGTGAAAAAGATTGCTCGCTCTGGGGGTCCGTGCCCCCTTCTTCGTTCCCTGTTTCGTCGGCGGGGGTCCTGTCGCCTATTCCGTCTCAAGCCATCTCTTCTGTAGCTCATGCGGTACCGGTGGAGGTGTTACCATCACGTCAACCATCAACTACTTCTCCTATGCGCTCGGTGGCATGGCCGTCTTGGCAGCCTACGTACGCTTCTTCGGTGTCCTCTGCTTCTAAGGACGGGGTGTTTCGTGATCCCCTGCCTCGTTATGTGACTTGCGCTAGTGAGCTTCGGAAGTGGCCGTTTCCGCCTGATTTGGTGATTCTTGAGTTTATACAGGCCCCAAAGCAGAAGGGGGATCGACTCCCTACTGACATGGAATATTTGATTAGGGAGGCCTATAAGAAAAGATATCCCTGGGATAAGTTCCCTGAGAAGTATGATCCTGCTTCTGGGAGTTAGGTTCATGCCCCGTGATTCCTTTGTTTGGCTGTATGTTGTGGGTTGTCTTCCGTTTGTGTGCATGGTTGTGGGGTGCGGGTTGTGTGTGTGTGTGGGTGGGGCTGGTTTATTTTCCCGGTTCCTGCATGCTCCGGTGTTTGTTATGTATTATGTATTGCGTATATGTTTTCTGTATTGCGATTATGCTGTCCTTTTGTTTCTGTTGAGTGTTTGTAATTCCCTTTAGTGTTGTATTTCTTATCATTTTGTCTTGGTGCCTCTCCGTGTGTGGTTAAGGTGCTGGTAGACTTGTTTTGTATAATTATGTTCTGGTGTTTGGGTTGTTGGGTGCGGGTTTGGGTACTGTGTGTTGTATTGATGTCGTTTCTGTACTGTATTCCCCTGTGTTTGTATGTATTGTTGTTTTTGTGGTCGGCCCTTAAGGCCGGTGTTTTGTGGTTGAGTACCTTAGTTCTTTTGTACTTTGTGAGTTTGTGAATTGTCATTTTGTGTTTTGTGCTGTTTTGTTCTAGTTTGCTTTAATTGATTTTATTGTATTTATTGTATTTATTGTATTTCTTCGCATGTGTGCATGTAAAAATAAAAAAAAAGGTACTCGGGACTACACAAACACTCTACTTGTCGAGCATTCAGTGATTAATTCCCATTTATCCCTGTGCTACGGACAGCTGATTAATCCCAGTACGAGTTACGTTATTAGTTACTATCGCCCCTCGATAGTTTACTTCAATTTCAATGTCCAGAGTGCTATGGGAACGGCAATCACCCATAACATCCCTCGAGCAATAAATTACTATCCTCAAGGTCAATACTAAATTAATGTACAAATACGTCACCTCATACCTTTTGTAATAAGTACAGAGCTAACATAGCCATCCAAATGTCACGGCCGCCTAACTTTTCAGCTGTGGGTGACGTCACGAGCTATGCTATGAGGTCATGGCATCTTACTTATTTTTTATATATATTTAATGCTTAATAATAATAATAATAATAATAATACTATTCAAAAAGGGCTAGACCAATCATCCCCAACCTAACCTAGCCTCACCAAGGGTTTACGAATATATAGCATTATAATAATTTTATATATATCATTATAATAATTACATTATCATCATTTTTAATTGTAACATCACTGGTGACGGTCCACCAGTGTGCGAGGTCACACTGCCACCAGTGTGAACCGTCACACTGCCACCAGTGTGGACCGTCACACTGCCACCAGTGTGGACCGTCACACTGCCACCAGTGTGGACCATTACTATACCACCCGTGTGGGCCGTCACAATACCACCAGTGTGAGCCGTCACACTACCACCAGTGTGGGCCGTCACACTGCCACCAGTGTGAACCATCCCAATACCACCAGTTTGGGCCGACACACTGCCACCAGTGTGGAAAGTCACACTACCGTCAGTGTGGGCCGTCACAATGCCACCAGTGAGGACCGTCAAACTGTCACCAGTTTGGGCCGTCACACTGCCACTAGTGTGGACCATCACACCGCCACCAGTGTAGGTCATCACACTGCCACCAAAGTGGGCCGTCTCACTGCCAACAGTGCGAGCCGCCACACTGCTACCAGTCTAGACAGTCACACCTCCACCAGTGTGGACCGTCACACCGGCTACTGTGTGAACCGTTACACTGCCACCAGTATGAGCCGTCACTGTACCAGTGTGGACCATTACTGTACCAGTGTGGACCATCACTGAACCAGTGTGGGCCGTCACACTGCTACCAGTGGGCAGTCACACTGCCAACAGACAGCACCGTCACACTGCCACCTGTGAGAACCGTCCCACTGCCAACAGTGTGGATCGTCACTATACCAGTGTGGGCCGTCACGCCGCCACCAGTGTGGGCCGTCACGCCGCCACCAGTGTGGACCGTCTCACCGCCACCAGTGTGGACCGTCACACTGCTACCAGTGTGGGCCGCCACACTGCTATCAGTGGGCCGTCAAACTGCTACCAGTGGGCCGTCACACTGCCACCAGTGGGCCGTCACACTGCCACCAGTGGGTCGTCACACTGCCACCAGTGTGGGCGGTCACACTGCCATCAGTGTGGACAGTCACACTGCCACCAGTGTGGACCATCACTGTACTAGTGTGAACCGTCACTGCCACCAGTATGTACCGTCACATTACCAGTGGTGACCGTCACACTACCACCAGTGAGCGCCGTCACACTACCATCAGTGTGGACCGTCACACTACCATCAGTGTGGACCGTCACACTACCACCAGTGTGGACCGTCACACTATCACCAGTGTGGAACGTCGTCACTGCCACCAGTTTGTACTGTCACTGTTAGAGTATGAACCGTCACACTGCCACCAGTGTGGACCGTCACTTTACCAGTTTTGACCGTCACTTCCACTAGTGTGGAGCGTCACTGCCACAGGGATGGACCGTTGCACTGCCACCAATGTGGACCGTTACTGTAGTAGTGTGGACCGTCACTGCCACCAGTGTGGGCCGTCACACCGCCACCAGTGTGGGCCGTCACACCGCCACCAGTGTGGGCCGTCACACTGCCACCAGTGAGGACCGTCACACTGCCACCAGTGTGGACTGTCACACTGCCAACAGTGCGGGCCCTCATACTGCTACCAGTGGTCCGTCACACTGCTACCAGTGGGTCGTCACACTGTCACCAATGGGCCGTCACACTACCACCAGTGTGGGCGGTCACACTGCCATCAGTGTAGACCGTCACGCTGCCACCAGTGTGGGCTGTCACACTGCTGCCAGTGTGTGCCGTCACACTGCCACCAGTAGGCCGTCACACTGCCACCAGTGAGGACCGTCACACTGCCACCAGTGAGGACCGTCACACTGCCACCAGTGAGGACCGTCACACTGTCACCAGTGAGAACCGTCACACTGCCACCAGTGAGGACCGTCACACTGCCATCAGTGGGCCGTCACACTGCCACCAGTGAGGATCATCACACTGCCACCAGTGAGGACCGTCACACTGCCACCAGTGAGAACCGTCACACTGCCACCAGTGTGGGCCGTCACATTGCCACCAGTGTGGACCGTCACACTGCCACCAGTGGGGACCGTCACACTGCCACCAGTGTAGACCGTCACAATACCACCAGTGTGGACCATCACAATACCACCAGTGTGGGCCGTCACACTGCTAGCAGTGTGAGCCGTCACACTTCCACCAGTGTTGCCTGTTACACTGTCACCAGTTTGAAAAGTCACACTGCCATCAGTGTGGGCCGTCATACTGCCAGCAGTGTGGACCGTCACAGTGCCACCAGTGTGGACCGTCACACCACCACCAGTGTAGGTCGTCACACTGCCACCAGTGTGGACCGTCACAATACCACCAGTGTGGACCGTCACAATGCTTCCAGTGTGGGCCGTCACGCTGCCACCATTTTTGCCCGCCAAACTGCCACCAGTGTAGGCCGTCACACTGCCACCAGTGTGGACCGTCACACTGCCACCAGTGTGGACCGTCACACTGCCACCAGTGTGGACCGTCACACTGCCACCAGTGTGGGCCGTCACACTGCCACCAGTGTGGACCGTCACACCGCCACCAGTGTGGACCGTCACTGCCACCAGTGTGGACCGTCACACTGCCACCAGTGTGGACCGTCACTCTGCCACCAGTGTGGACCGTCACACTGCCACCAGTGTGGACCGTCACACTGCCACCAGTGTGGACCGTCACACTGCCACCAGTGTGGGCCGTCACACTGCCACCAGTGTGGACCGTCACACTGCCACCAGTGTGGGCCGTCACACTGCCACCAGTGGTGGTAGTGTTCAGGCAAATAGCATCATTTGCCTGCACTTCAGAAGCACCTTCACACCGTTGAGGTCACATGTCTGCTCTTTACAAGACTTCACAGAGTTGTAAAGTAATTTTCAACTATATTTAACTTAACCTTAAGATTCTGGAGAGGTTGGGAATTCTTGAGACTTTCCTCTGGCGAGACTCGAATTCTTTCAATATTGAGGGCAGAGTTACTTTATTGGTTCTGATATCTAGGATCATGGCACGGCTGTTGTGGTAAGCAAAGTGTGGCGGGCTGAGGCAGTAGCAGGCTTGTATGTGAATGGCTGAGGCAGTAGCAGGCTTGTATGTGAATGGCTGAGGCAGTAGCAGGCTTGGGTGTGGAGGGCTGAGGCAGTAGCAGGCTTGGGTGTGAAGGGCTGAGGAAGTAGCAGGCTTGGGTGTGGTGGGCTGAGGCAGTAGCAGGCTTGGGTGTGAAGGGCTGAGGAAGTAGCAGTCTTGGGTGCGGTGGGCTGAGGCAGTAGCAGGCTTGGGTGTGAAGGGCTGAGGAAGTAGCAGGCTTGGGTGTGAAGGGCTGAGGAAGTAGCATGGTCGGGTGTGAAGAGCTGAGGTAGTAGGAGGCTTGGGTGTGGTGGGCTGAGGCAGTAGCAGGCTTGGGTGTGGAGGGCTGAGGCAGTAGCAGGCTTGTATGTGAATGGCTGAGGCAGTAGCAGGCTTGGGTGTGGAGGGCTGAGGCAGTAGCAGGCTTGTATGTGAATGGCTGAGGCAGTAGCAGGCTTGGGTGTGGAGGGCTGAGGCAGTAGCAGGCTTGGGTGTGAAGGGCTGAGGAAGTAGCAGGCTTGGGTGTGGTGGGCTGAGGCAGTAGCAGCCTTGGGTGTGAAGGGCTGAGGAAGTAGCAGTCATGGGTGCGGTGGGCTGAGGCAGTAGCAGGCTTGGGTGTGAAGGGCTGAGGAAGTAGCAGGCTTGGGTGTGAAGGGCTGAGGAAGTAGCATGGTCGGGTGTGAAGAGCTGAGGCAGTAGGAGGCTTGGGTGTGGTGGGCTGAGGCAGTAGCAGGCTTGGGTGTGAAGGGCTGAGGCAGTAGCAGGCTTGGGTGTGAAGGGCTGAGGAAGTAGCAGGCTTGGGTGTGAAGGGCTGAGGCAGTAGCAGGCTTGGGTGTGAAGGGCTAAGGCAGTAGCAGGCTTGTATGTGAATGGCTGAGGCAGTAGCAGGCTTGGGTGTGGAGGGCTGAGGCAGTAGCAGGCTTGGGTGTGAAGGGCTTAGGCAGTAGCAGGCTTGCGTGTGGTGGGCTTAGGCAGAAGCAGGCTTGGGTGTGAAGGGCTAAGGCAGTAACAGGCTTGGGTGTGAAGGACTGAGGAAGTAGCATGGTCGGGTGTGAAGAGCTGAGGCAGTAGGAGGCTTGGGTGTGGTGGGCTGAGGCAGTAGCAGGCTTGGATGTGTAGGGCTGAGGAAGTAGCATGCTTGAGTGTGACGGGCTTAGGCAGTAGCAGGCTTGCGTGTGCTGGGCTGAGGCAGTAGCAGGCTTGAGTATGACAGGCTGAGGCAGTAGCAGGCTTGAGTGTGACAGGCTGAGGCAGTAGCAGGCTTGCGTGTGGTGGGCTGAGGCAGTAGCAGGCGAGTGTGTGGTGGGCTGAGGCAGTTTTTTTATTATTATTTTGTTCCACAGACGTGGCCACACATTTACAATGCTCAGAAGCATATATACATTTTCTTCTGTCCTCCATGGACTGGGATAAAGAACTGTTGAATATATAATTCAAAGATTTATTGAACAGTCGACCTCAGAAGGTGATTGTAGTGCTTTGAAAATGCAAAATTATTCTACAAACATAAATACACAGATTTAGGTCTGTCCAACGTGAACAGTGTAGGAGGTGTCATTTAACGCAGAGTCATGTGCGTTTACAAAGGAGAAATGCTATATTCAGACGAGCTACCACAAACCCTGTATACAAATTCACACATATACCTATACATATCCACACATATAAATATACATATATATATATATATATATATATATATATATATATATATATATATATATATATATATATATATATATATATATATATATATATATATATATATATATATATATATATTATTAAATATGACCGAAAAAGTAAGATTAATAATTCTAACACGAATTTTCTCAATCTTTCGTACATTACGCTTCACTGTTGGAGGTAAATCAAAAATCACTTCTCCAAAATTCATTTTTATTTCTAGTCTGACGCGACACAGGCGCGTTTCGTAAAACTTATTACATTTTCAAAGACTTCACAAATACACAACTGATTAGAACGTATCTCTGATTTTATATCTACATTTGAGTGAGGTGGTAAGGGTGATGTGGCATTAACACAAGACAGAACAGGAGGGGATATTAATAGGGTATTAAAAGTATCAACACAAGACAGAACAGAAACAATGGGTATTGAATAGAAGTGTTTGTAGAAAGCCTATTGGTCCATATTTCTTGATGCTTCTATATTGGAGCGGAGTCTTGAGGTGGGTAGAATATAGTTGTGCAATAATTGGCTGTTGATTGCTGGTGTTGACTTCTTGATGTGTAGTGCCTCGCAAACGTCAAGCCGCCTGCTATCGCTGTATCTATCGATGATTTCTGTGTTGTTTACTAGGATTTCTCTGGCGATGGTTTGGTTATGGGAAGAGATTATATGTTCCTTAATGGAGCCCTGTTGCTTATGCATCGTTAAACACCTAGAAAGAGATGTTGTTGTCTTGCCTATATACTGGGTTTTTTGAAGCTTACAGTCCCCAAGTGGGCATTTGAAGGCATAGACGACATTAGTC